TTGGTCGGCCTCCTTTGTCCGTTTCCTCCGTTATTGGTTTCCTTTGTTCGTCCCTTATTTATCGGAAGCCTGATGCCGGAAAAATCACGAGAATTAGCTTTACGAAAGACTAGTAGTAGAAATGAAGTGTACAAGTGGGGCTCGAACTGACGACTTGTCCGGTTCGCGCTCGGCTCGCTTCGATAAACTCACAGCCTCGCGTTCGACGTGCCGCGCCTGTTAGCAATAACGAGGGCTGTTTATGTACCGCTTACGTCGATTACAATAATCTGCCCCGTCAGAGCGCTGTCTACGTTCTACGAGGTCGAGTTTCCATTAATTCCCGACCAGCTGTTGCGGTTGTGTATGAATGAAACGGGGAACACGTTCCGATTCACCGTTTGCCCGCTGCGCATCGCCCGCGCAGCACACTCGCGCGCGCGCAGACACGTACACAGGCCGACGGCAGGCCCATCGCGGCCCTGCGACGGGCGGCTGGCGCCTTTCTGCGTGGGCGGGCGGCTCGCGAAAGAGCAGGCGGACGGCGGCTCTCGCACGTGCCGCGCCCGCACTGCCCCCCGCCGCCCTGCGCCGGAGAGCGAGGGCCGAGTCGCTCTGAACCTAAGCTCTCATCTGAGAGGCATCTCATTGTCAGAACAGAATGCCCAGAGTCCTACGTCCTCCCTGAATGACCATGAGGCGTTGAGTCGTGAAGCATTCGTTCCAGTCCAGTCCTTGCCCCCCTCCCTCCTCCCCCGCCATCGTTCGATTTCGCACAACCACCGGCACTTTGCAAAAGCTGTCAGATGTTACCTTTGGATTTTTCCGTGGTTTCGTCATTTCATTGTTTTTCATTCTCATACCTATTCATGAGGGGGGGGGAATTGATTTTGTTTTCCATCCCTTAAGTCACATTAACTATACGTTTTCAAGACGTGCGCTCGTAAATCGTAAGGTGCACGTTCAAAATTATGTTGTTTTGATCGGTTTCATCAACACACGTGGAAATGTAATGACGTCATCGTACGTATGTAACCATTTGAATATAGCGCTGCTATCTTGCGGTGAAGAAGAGAGATACAACCGTCACAAAAAAACCTCACTGAATTGAAATGGCACGATTCCGTTTCTCTGTGATGCTGCCATCTCTGGAATATTTAGAGATGTACTACGAACATGCAGCGGGAAACAGAACGTGCCATATCATAAAAATGGCGCATAATTCGAAACCAATGTTTAACCAAACACGAAATACGTTTTCTTGTTTTGCCTATTCCTGTAAATAATTTTTGTTTTATCGTTTTGATTTTACTTAAACAAACATATTAAAATGTTGGCATATATTAAAACGACGTTTACATAATTATATGAATGAATTTCAATAAAAAAAAAGTTTGATTTTGAATACAAATCTTTATTTTTGTAAAGAAATTAACATCAACAAAAACGATTCCAGTTAATGAAATGATGATAAAGGTATTCACCAGTATTATGCACTTACAAGCAATGAACCTGGATCAATACTCTCCTCCTGACTCTCAGCCAAGATTGACCATCTAACTCTCAAGAAAATTAATAAATTAACCCTTTGGGCATTATTTAAATATAAACTATCCTACTAATGTTGCAATTGCTTTATATTTGTTACCAAGTAACAATTTTCATAGAGTATACTAGCATCAAGTAGCACACATCAAGTATCACAATGCACAAATTATACATAACCTCCTATAGTTTCAAAATTGTAATAGAATATTCTCAGTTGAGAATGAAATATCACATAAGTGTTTATTAGTTTGTATATCCATCGTTCCAGTTCTTCACTTATTTAGCATTATTTTCTCATGTTTCTCATATTCCAACCTCAGTGTCACTTCATAGAACTTCCAAGTTTCATTTTAACTAACTGAAATCGTTCTTCTATCAATGGAAATAAGTGAAATATAAATTTTGAAATTTTTGTAGTATTTATTAAAAGCTTTGCAAATTATTAGCTGATTTCTGTCTTAAAATATTAAACAAAAGAAATTTGTAATCTTAATTATTTCCCATTCCCTTTTTGTCTAAAAAAAACATGATGCATTAATGTATTGCAAACATATTTTATAAAACAGATTTGGTATACAAATCTATATTACACATTATTTTAGTAATTTAATGTATATTATAATAATTTAGTTACATCCTTGAATGAAATAACATGCTGTAAAAATTCATTGTTTGGAAAATTCATAATCCACTATGAAATAAAGACACCAGAAAATAATTATTAAAATATTTAGTTGTAGCAACATTTTAGACAAATAGATGGTCTCAAATTTGAAATTATAAATTAGGCTTAAATATTATGATAGGGGTTTACAATTTTTTTTATTATTAAATAAATTTCAAGAAAAGGTAAAATGTTGATTAGCTGTTAACATTCAATTTGTAATTCTTGTTAACTTTCTAGTATCTCTAGCACTACCATATCCATACTTTTTTATGTTCAATTTTTTTATGATTATTAAAAGATGCATATTCTCTTATTTTCAATATACTGTCATACATTTATAAGATCTATTATTTTAATATTACTACACTGTAAAAATCATTTACAATTCAAAAAGACTACCAAATCTTGGGTATCTCTACAATTCTTTTCATGATTAAAGCAACTAAACATTATTGGTTGACATGCTGTAAAAATATTTAAAACAATTTTTTACAATCATTTCAATTTTATATTTGATTTTACAGCCTGTGAAAATAATGTCACCAACATCTGTTCTTCAACGCCAGCAAGGAAATTGCTTCGAATGCAGCACAGTACTTTGTTCTTTCCTCACTGGAATTGGATATGATGCATATGTTGTGTCTGGTTATGCAACTAAAGCATTGTGCAGAGCTGATCAATCCAACATAGATAACCCTGAGTTAAAAAAATACAAACCGGTAATTGTTCGGAAGTATTTGAGGGATTCAATTGTTTTTTCATTCAACATTACCTGATTTTAAAATTTTATAATTCTTGTGATAGGTTATAGTACCACCACCTCCACCTGCCCCAAGAAAATATGAAATGAAACTTACTAAGGAGTTTGACAGTCAGTATTTAAAAGCGATGCAAGAAAGGGCTGATTTAGAAGCTAAGTTGAAGGAAGAGGAAAAGGAAGCTGAGGATAACATGAAGCAAATTCTGACAGTAAGATGATGATGATAATTATTATTTATTCATTTTAGTGACAGATTTCACTATGTAAATATTGTTAGAAATGTTTCAAAAATGTAAAGTTTAATAGGATGTTTTTTTAACGTAAACAATAAACAGTTTAAAAGTAAACAATATTTCTCAATGAAGTTTCAAATATTATTTTATTTGCAACTCTTCATATTTTTTTGTCAATTCAACACAACTTTGGTGTTTAATTAACAGGAGAGAGTTGCTGAACTGCCAACTGATGAGTTATTTGGAGTGAGAGTGCATAGTTGGGTTCTAATTCGACCAGGAACTCTGGGAATAGAAGAAGCATTCTTCATTGACCCTCCAACAGGAAGATCATTTTCTCCAGTAGATGCTAATTTTTTGGGATTGGAAAGCCTCTGGAATAATACTAATTACTGGGTTAATATGCAAGACTGTAGTGAAGGCTGCAGGGTGTGTAGCAATTTTGAAATACAACTAGTTTTAATTTACAAGTAGAACTGAATCCACCTTATTATTTTTGCAACAATATCATAAAGTATATTAAATATGTTAATATTTAAATGACATATGCCGGAAATTTTACAATCCTTATTTTTTCATGTATCTAATATATGGAAAATGGTATATAATATCTCACATAACTATACACACACACAAGAAAAGAAAAAAGCCCTGATTAATTTAAGTCTTATTGATTGTTGTTATCTCTTATATTATTCTTTTCAAGTTATTTGTAACCAGAAGATTGTGTCATCTAAATGAAGTTCATTATGTATAAATTCACATGTATCTATATACATAAAAATGAATGTTTTCTTCTCCAATAATCCAATTTTCATGACATTTTATATTCTGATAGATCTTTATGAGAGGAAAATCACTGTCTCCATGAGATTTCAAAACATTAATCACCATCCCTTTTTCCCTCCTCTTCAAGCAGAATTTACAGTTTCACTGTTGTCACAGATATCTCAGAAATGATGAGGACATTGGTGAAAAGAGGTCTAAATTTGTATCAAAGTGCTTACAATTTTCTACTGAAAGCATTTTTATTCACTTCAATAGGGCTATAAGGTTTTGAGTGATGCAAGATTGAAATTAAAAAGTTAGTTCCTACTCACTCCTTTCAGCAACATCTTCATTTGCGTTCATTCAATTTTGGTGAAGGAGTGCAGAGAGACAGCAGAGAGGCACAGGGGGATAGAGAGCTGCCAGAACAGAGGGCAGCCCCATGGAAAGGGGGGTGCAGCCTGTACGTAGCTCCAGGGATAATGTTGTCAATGAATTCTATAATTTTTATTTACTCTGAACATTTATTTGATTTATATCACACCTATCTTCTTCAATCTTGCAAGTGAATAAATTTTCAAAGTTAAAAGCCATGCATGGGACACAATATGAATTATGTCACATTCTGGGCCAACAGAATCCTGGAAAGTTGCCTAAGAGCTGTTGTGAACTGTTCAGCAACAACAGATATTCTGTCTTAAATAAATATATCAATATAATCATAAGAAATTACAAGTATAAGAAATAATGTACTCATGTCTGTTGATTCTTTTGTAAGAGGCCACTTACCTATGTAGTACTAGGGACTGGATTTTCTCTTGGTAGGCCTGTCAGAGAAAGCAAAGAGAGCAAGGGAGGTAGCAGATGAAATGCGGAGAACTAGTGGGGTGAGATTGAATGGAAGAGATGGGAAAGCTGAGAGAGATGATGTAAATAAAATTACTTCCATTGTACACTATTCATATAATTTTCCCCTTGTATATTAGATGATAATTATGCAACTCGAGATACTTCAGATGTTACTTTTTCTGTCATAATGCTCCTCCCCAATTTTTGCATGAGAAAGTAACAGATCTTGTAACTTTCAAATTAGTTGTTATCTCGTTTCAGATTACAAATATTCCATGAAAAAATGATTACATATACATTACACTTGCATTATCATTACATATGTGTAAATTGTGTTCATAAAATTTTGTTTTACTTTCTGAACTTGATTTTTAATTGTATTTCATTTACCAGAACTTGAAATTTGATTTGAAAGACCCTACTTGTTGGAACTGGTTATTAATGGCAGAACCTTGGTATATGAGAAGTCAGGCAGATGAGGACAGAGAGAGAGAAGAAGAAGAAGAGGATGAAGAAAAAGCAGACCCAGAAAGAAAGGAGTTAGCCAAATATTTGATAGAAAAGCATTTGGATATGCCTGCATCTTGGGTAGCTCGATTAGAAATTCCTGAAGCAGGTTAGAAAATGTTAAAATTTTTATTCAAATCTTAAATTATATCTCTTGAAACATAAGGCACAAACTAGTAACATAATAAGCAGCTAATTTTCTATTAAAAATATATTACATAGATATTTTATGGGAATGTTGTACGTTCCTATGTAATGTCAAATTGATTTTGTTATATTATTGTAGTTTATAGAAGGAGATATCCAGGCGGTCACAAGGAAGTTGTGTATTATAAATCTAAGGTAGATTATTATGCACCATATGTTAAAAATGATGGTTTAACAATGTACATAGTTTCATTCTCTGACAAGAACTATAAAGTTAAAGAAATGGTTTATGAGACATATCAAAACAGATCTGACTTACTCACAGATGTGATAAAAAATTTTGAAACCAATTTAGTCACAGAAAAGTATTCCAGAGGGAGAGAAGAAGGTCTTAAAGGTATAAAAATAATATAAATAAATTACTTGTATAAAATAAGTTAAATATAAGTTTTGAAAATGCAACAACTTGCTTTTAGAACACCAATATTACATGGGTCACACTGCAGTAGAAGACAAAAGGAAGCTGAATTTTTTTTATGAAGCACGAGCTGATGGTCTATCAGAACTTATAATGGACCCTCTTTTTCTCACGTTACACTACATAGATCGTATTGACTTTCTCTACTACCGGCACGCTATCTTTGAACCAAGGCTTGAGGGCGAAATATCAGAAGACAAGAGAAATGTTTTGGTAATGATTTCTTAAACTTCATTATGTTTTACATGCTATCAAATTGTATTTGGAAGGGTTACCTTATATTCATATAAAATAAATCATGATAATGATAAAATGTTTTAGTCTTTAATTGAAAAATTTCACAAAAATCCTGATAAAAACAATGAAGAAGATATTGCAGAAAGAACTTACATTCCTCCAGAAAATAGAATTTTCCTGAAATTTCACTATGGAGACACCAAAGTAATAGCATCAACTCGGGAATTTATAAAACCACCTCCTGAAAAATTAGGAGACAAACTACAATTTGAGAATGAGATGACTGTTGGTTTTAATGTAAGTATTTTGTATTGTTTATACATTGTAATTTCAACTGTTTTTGTTACTATGTTTACCATTTTTGATAATTATCTAATTGACAGTCCTGAGAATTATAGTAAGTTCTGTTAAAAAGAATATATTTATCTTTAGTTACTATGCAAAATGTTATTATTATATTATATTTTATTTTTCAAATAGGTTGACCCGACGTACCCAAATCTCAAATCATATGAGCTATTTGAATTGCTTAAAGAACAATTACTAGCTGAAGAACAAGCATTTTTTGAACTTCGAGCTTTGGAAGATGAGGTGAGATAATAAATTTAAATATTCTTTAATGAATATTTGTGAAAATGGAAACCTTAAACAAATTTAAAGTAATTCAAAATATCTCTTGAGCAGCTGTCTTTGCTTTTAAAACTGAGAATTGCAGAGATAGAAGTGCCAAAACTGGCAGTCAGTATATACGATACTGAAAGAAATAAGGAAGCAAAAGGAGAAATGCTGGATAAGGTAAATGTTAGAACACTTTCTTATGCTTTAAATTTAAGAGAACCAATTAAAAGTTTAAATTTAATTGTTAGAGAACTTTATACTTGTAATCACTTGCTTATATTCCCATGAAACGGGCTCATTACCATTGCAAGTATAATTAGTATTGGTTACTGCTTATTTTGATTGATTCACAGTGAGTTTAGTATATTTTTAAATGGGAAGTTAATGCAGTGTATGTGCATGGATCACATGTCAGTTTTGTTTTTGGATAATTTCTCTCATCATTTCTTGTTTTTTTTATTTTCTTCTGATGAAAAAAGTAAATATTAATATACATTATAGTATTGATAATGTTCAACATTGCAAATATATTCATTTTATAAAAACATTGAGGGAAAATATGTATTGGGAGGAATATTATCATTATTTTTTCCAGGACCAAAAAATAAAGGAACAAATTGTTAAGGAGCATGAAGCAGAGGTTGACTATTTGGCACCATATCTTGCATTTTTGGGTTTAACTCACACCAAGTCTCTTTCACTGAAAGATGCAACAACAGTTCGGGATATGTGTCTTAATGATCATAAAAATATATTTGTAAACAGAGCTAATAATATGCAAGAAGCATTTGAGAGGGTAAGTCTTTGTCTGATGATATTTAATATATTTTTTAAGGGGAATTCTGTAATGATGCAATAGGTATCATATTGTTTTATCTATTATTAATTTTTTAAATTTTATGGTATTGAATTCAGGAATTCATTCAAATGGTTGTTATTCAAGAAACAAAATTTCCCAGCATTTTATTTTTCTTGTTATTCATTTCATTTCTGTATTCATCCATGTGTCTGTGAGTTTGATATTGTAAGTTTGACAAATAATTCACACTCTGAGCATTTTTTATTTATTTATTTAATGTCAAAACAAAAATTTGTTTGTGAATGCGAGGGAGAACAATTTGCACTAGTTATTATGCTCAGGAGTATTTATTTTTAAAGTAGATGTGAAAGAAAATAAAACATGAATCATTTCCATTTAAATCAACTGTATTATTTTTAAGTACAACTGATGATGTGGACACACAGGCTGTGACTTATTAACTTTTTAGAAGAATGAATAAATACAGTGATATCATGTTTGATTGTTCATATATCAAAGGATATTTTGACAAGAATGTACATTCAACAGACAGTCAATATCAGTTTTCTTTAATAACAAAAAAACTGATTTTGTCACTTGTGACATGAAGTATTTTCAGTTTAATTTATAGAGTTCTTCAGCAAAGAATTTGGATTTGTGGTTTCATAGCCTGAACTTTGATTTATGAAGTTTGTTCTTGCAGGAATTTGAATAATAGAAGCCAAGTTACTGTTAGATATATCACCCCAAAAATCAATTTATACGATTACTTTTTCCCATACTACATTTGTAAAGAATGCTCTGTAATACTGCAGCAAAAAATGCTGATTTTACAGCAACAAAATTTATATTGTAGATCTCGAATACAGAAAAAGTGAATAATTCTTGTTCATATATGTAGAAAATTACTACCTCTAGCATGTTGTGTAATCAGATTCCACATATTAAATTCTTTGGCATCATCCTATGTCTATAATATTAAATATGAAGATGTTTCTGTTGAATGAAATCTGTTCTTCAAAATTTGATATTTAAATGAGATCAGGTACAATTATTTCAGAATATGAGTAGTTTTCATGTAATGTTGCATGAAATAGAGAAAATTTTAAAAATAAGATTTTCTCAAAAGCAGCTCCAAATTTTTTCTTTAATGGTTTTTATTGAATAGTGTGAAGTACTGGTATGCTTATAAAAATGCATTAAAAATACTTCAAGCAACCACAAAATACCAATTTAATTTGCATTCTCTGAATTATTGAAAATTTGCAAAAGTTTCAAATAATGCGAGAAAACAGCTACTGTTGTAATACTCCTAGTTTTAACATCGGATTATGAAAATGTTGACCCTTGTATGAACACGAATATACTAAAACTATGAAGTTATAAACTTTTTCAATTCATTAAGGTTCTATTGTGCCATCAATTGCAAAATTTATTAAATGTGTGATAAAGTACATAAACGCTTCATCTTTCATACATTTGTGTTCCAGACATGCAACACATTGCGTATGAAACATTATTGGTATGAACAACAGCGAGATAATCTCACTAAAGAAGAAGAAGAGGAATATTTTGAACAATGCAACCAACTGAGATTCTATTTACATACTCTGGAAATTAGATTAAAGCGCCATAGAGATCTAGTCCCTCAAAAATATGCAGCTCTTGAAGCTTGGCTGGAAAAGGATCCAAGATTGGCATGTTTATATAAGAAAAAATGATAGTATCTTCAAAACCCAGACAAATTGTATACAATCATTAACTACACTCTGAAAATAATGTCAAGTTATTCATAATGATAAATCAATAAAACATTTACAAATTTTTAAATTATAGAGTGGTTTGTACATTAACTGCTAATTTACTTACATGCTTGTAAACTTAACTTATTTGGGGGCTCTTTATTTTTGGTGTTAACTTACATTTACATTGCATCTTCACTTGGTTGAATGTATCTGAATTTAATGAGATCAAAAAAGTAAGTAATACAAGTAAAAGTAATACAATGAGAGATAATGTAGTGATTGCGAGGCCCAGAGGAAAATGTGGGTATGGTGGGTTCCTATACCTACATGAAAAATTCCGAGTGGGTAAAATACCCACTCAGAATTTGGGGTGAGAGACATTTTCCATAAATATCAAATTCCAAAAATTAACAAGTTTTCTCAATATTGTAAAGATTAAAAACATATATGTAATCTATGGGGCAAGATGGGCTCAACAGATTTGGAATTTTACATGTTTGTGGTGACATGAACAATAAAATCAATTTGCAAAAATTATTAAATGAATTCATATTTTAAAAAATACAACACACGGCACTGTTTTTGAACTGCAAAAATGAACTCTGCGGAAGTTACATTAAATAAATTTGATGAAAAATGAATATGATAGCCATTTGATTACAGTTTAATGATAAACATGATATTTGAAAAAATGGTTTTGTATTTTACTCTTCATATACATTTTATTTGGGTTTGGAGGGGAATGGGGGATCCCCACCTGGGGATCCACACCAATTGCTAACTCCACTGATCTCAAAAAATTGTAAAAATCACTGCTAAAATTTTGTTCTTCTATGAAAGAAATACATTTAAGTCATGCACAATAATTGGAAAAGAATTTTGCTTGTTAAGAAGGAAACAGATCTTTCTGCATAGATAAAATAAAGTTTTTCTTAAATATTGTGTTTTGTTTGTAATGTTTAATCAGGTCAATTACTAGGTCAGTCCCTCATTTTCCTTTATTTTTACTTCCTCTATACAAAAAGTGGTTTCTTTTCTTTCTTTTTCCTTTCTTTCTTCTCAAAAGTCCATTTGGACATCTGGCTAACCAGTGGCTGATCGGGGAAGGGGGAATGGCCCCTATGCCCCCTCCCCCAAAGGCCTAGAGTGTTTGTTTGTTAGTTACCTACCTCTATTTGGTCAAATTGATTTAAATATTTATTTCTGTAAGAATTACGAAACTAATTAAGCAATAATAATATTATACTGGAATATCTGCGAAAGAAATGTCGAAACTTCGCAAATAAGCTCTCAAAACAATTCTAAGAGTATTTTTCTAATAAACTACTGAAATATTCCGAATGCTTAAGCCGCAATAAGCAAAGCCGCAATGCTTAAGCCACTGGAACATTTTCAAAATTTTCTCAGAAATGGATCCAAATTGTTTCTTAAAATTTCTTATAAGAATAGAGTAAAATACACTTTTAAATGTGGCACAGATACAATTTTCAAAGTTAACTCTGAATTTTCGAAAATTTCAAAAGTTTGAATTGCTTCAATCTTCCTTCCACAACAGTATTAGAGACAATTCTTCAAATAAAATTTGTTGGCCATAATTTCTTCTTTCATTAAGGTCATGTACATTTTTTTGAAAATTTTAGTAGTTCTCATCCAATATTACGTGCAGTTTGTGCTATTTAAAATATTACAAAAACAAGATTTTCTGCAAAATTGCTCCAATTTTTTTCTTTTTACTTTTTGGTAGGGATTGTGCTAAATGTGCTCTGTAAGTTGACATTAATGCCATATTGCTATTTGCATTTGTTTTTTCAAAAATTACAAAAATTAAAATTTTTTGACTTGTTAAAATTGATATTAGCTTCAGTTAGTTCACATTATTGTATTTATGAGCACATTTGCTTAAAATAATGTCATATAATGTTTCTCAAAAACTCATCAGTTTTCTTTGAAAACTGGATCAAAATCCCTCATATTCAGCAACAGCCAAATACTATTTTCTCAAAAACGGCTCCAAATTCTTTCTTGAAAAGTTTCAAACAGATAGTGCTAATTGCGTTCTTTAATATGACAAAGTTCATTACGGTGTATCTTTTATTTTTTCAAAAATTACAAAATTAAATTTTTTAAAGACTTCTCACGCCGGTAATATGCACATTTTCAGTAATTGATAAACCCTATTGAATTTGTTAGTTAAAGTGTAAATAAAGTCTTCAAATAAAGTTTTTCGAAAACTCAAAAATTTTCTGTGAAAAAGTGCTCAAATTACTGTAGAGCTGACGCGCCATATTCTTAAAAACTGCTTTTTCAAGTTTTTCAAAGAAAATTGTCATTGGGGCGAGGTTTTAATATTCTTTAATATTTGTAAAATTATATTTCCGTTCTACTATTAGGAAAACGAAAAATTAAGAAAATTGTATTTTGGCGTCGATAAATGGCAACTGTCAAGAGTATGTGGCAAGTTAGAATAGCCAGGCAAGACAAAAGGAAACGGAAAACTAATACGGGAAACTCTGTGCCATTCTGTCGCACCACTAGTTTATTTCTGTGTTAATTTTTCTTCCTGAACAAATATATTAATTTCTTTTATAAATAATAAACAACTAACATGTTTCTGAAGAGTTTCTATTCTTCTCCAATTCAAATAAAGTTGCATCAACTCCTAGATCATTAGCGACCACTATTGCTTGTAATGGTATGGTAACTGTGAGGATAACATAATATGATAGGGGGTGAAAGGACGAACACAATGCGTAATCCCGAGATCACACAGATAACGATCGAGTTTTCGAAAAGCTTTATATTACATTATTGAAAGCATATGTACTCATAAATATAATAATGTGAACAAATTTCCGCTATTGTGAATATTAACGACATGAGAGACAAGTAAAAAAAATACATATTTCTATTTCTTCAAAAAAACAACAAAAGAATAGCATAACATGGCGTTCATGACAGGAAAGAGAGCATTTAGCACAATCCCTACCTAAGATTTATAGAAAAAAATATGGTGCAGTTTTTGAGATTATCTTGTTTTTGTAATTTTTTTTAAATTCTCAAATTGCTCGCGATATTGCACTAAAATTATCAAAAAATGTACATGACCTTAATGACAGAACACATTATGGACAACAAATTTCATTTCGAGGAAAAATCTCTTTTTTTTATAGTTGCAGGAAGACGTCGAAAAAAATTAATACTTTTGTAATATTCGAAAATTTAGAGTTAAGCGTTAAGGCGCTAAAAAACAAACCTTTTTCGGTATCAAGATGTGTATTTCCGTTGAAATCTCGAAATCGATTTTCTGCAGCATTACATAACTTCCTCTGTACTATGTATATTTCTCCGTGTATACGTAATCCATTTAGAAACACTCAAACAACTTTTTTTTTCTTTCCAAAAAGGTTCAACTTTTTCGTTGAAAATGTTGGCACATTGACCGCCAAATTGCTTCAAATTTGGCACCTTGTTTTTTAATAGTGCCCTATTTTTTATTGTTCTTTGAAGGCGTTTCTGAGGTAAGGAGTATACATTTCAAACTTGGCGCTTCGGAGAAGCCGTGCGACGTTCTTCACTGTTGGCCAAATCACGGTATAACAGTATAACAATTTACAGTATACTGTGGCCAAACACTCATTTCTTTCGTACAAAGTTCCTTGACGTAGATTGTCAACGGCTTCCAGTTAGTTTGGAGCGTCACCGAAATATCGCATCAGCTCCTGGGCAGCTCCGGGCAGCTCCTCGTTGCGAACTATGCAGACAATTGTCAAGGTTCGAAGAATTCACCACAGCGGCACCACGAGCTCGCATTGTCATCACAAGCTAATGCAGAAAGCTGGGTAAAAACGTTTTGGACGCCTTCAGGGTTAGATTCCGGGTGTGCCAGGCACTGGATGCAGTTGAAACATGAAGTAAAAACGAAGAAATTTGTAAAGAAAGGTTTAATTTCGTTTGGACAGAGAACACTCTCGTCTGACAAAAACTACTGATAGAAGAGGTGATTTTCTTTTCAGTTTCTACCAATAGCTCTCCCATCTTTTTTTCCGAGTATTTTGCGCCTCAACATTGGCTAATATGTTTTCGGCGTAATAATTTTCTCTAACAACTGGAGTAATACTTTCATTGCGAACAAAACCAAATATTGAATCCGTGTAGGATTGGCATCAAATGCCAAGTGGCGCCAAGATTGCCACATTAGGGAATTTTGTCCCCAAAATGTTTTTTGTTTTCGTTGTGGGGAAAGAATTGGGAAAATACATGGCCGGGAGTATTCGGAGGAAATTATTTCCATCCAGAATCGATATACATATTTTCTGAAATGTTACGAATAAATAATATACAATAAAGATTATTCTCTCTTAATTTTTATACAAAAAAAAAAAGACAGGTATAGAGAAAGAAAAAGGCAACAGTATAAGGCTTCGAGCAGCTCAAAAGACGATGATTGGTGGATTTGAAGTATTTTGATTTAAGGGGACAGCGAATGGAATCGTCCGAGACAACTCATGTCGTTGATCTATAATTTGGAGATTTTTTGTTTTAAAGTTTGGGAATTTTGTATCATTGAATAGGTTATTTGCGGAAATTTCATAGAAATGTTCGGAAATGACATCGCAACACATCTGGCAATCGTGTGTGGCGCCTGTTTAGTATCATTCTAGAAGGCGTTCAAAATAAGCATAGGTACCGGGCCAACAAATATTGTATCTTTCAATGAATACGCTTAAAATTTTACTTTCAAGTTGACACAAGATCAATACTTTTTGCTGCATTATCCAAGTATAATAACGAAAATTTAAAATGCAAGTAATTACTCTTGGATGCGCAAAACATTGTTTTTTTCGTAAATTGGTCACAAAAATCTCCTTGGCTCCTTGTAATTCTCTCAACCCCTTGATTTGCTTTCTCTTTGACGTGATGTGATGCGATCACGTGATCACTTCGTAATCGATCGACCATTTTGGGTACTTGTGTAGAAGTGTGTGGTTAGCGAAAGTATATCGGAGGTTTATTGTACTTGCCTAATAGCAAATTAACGTAAAACTTCGCAGTCAAAATGGGTTTCCAAAATATTTGGTATTCTCACCCAAGGAAATACGGACAAGGTTCCAGGTCATGGTAAGTATTTTTTAAGGAAATCAAAACCACGTGCGTAAGTACATGCCGTACTCGCATCTTGTATGTAATTGAAATTAGAAATTTTCCTAACCATTTGATAAATTGACACACTAATGTACCTATGTACTTCAGTGCATACTAGGGCAAACCTTCTTAGTTTATTTATGTACATGTTGGTTCAACTGCACGATATTAGCCAAAATAATCTCACGTAAACTAGTGTCAGAATGATGGGTTGATTAAAAGAATGGCATTTCCGGGTCGGTGGCATCATTCTGCAAAGTAATTTCTTTATCAACATTTGCGAAAACGCTGTTATTTACATTTTCAGTATAAAGTCCTAAATGGCAACATTTTGTGTTGAATATTAGATAATGGGTATTATTTGTATGCCTTTTTAGAAATTGATACTCCTTAAAATGTTTGTGTTGACATCGATTTTTTGAAGATCCAAAATCCTAGAATGAGAGTGGTAGTTTGATCAGAACATTTAACAATGTTGTAATGGTCTTTCTTTTGAATTTGAATTTATGAAATGTGCCAAATTTAAGAATTTGTATAATGTGTTTTTTGCAATAAATCTACTTTTTGCTTCGGTGTGAACGTTTTTGAATATTGAGAAATGTTCTGTTCGCTTTTTGTTGCGTATTTGTAATGTAAATGTTTTTTCTTGGTCCTTGCAATATTGGTTTCATTCTGATACTTTTACTTGTGCATGCTGGAGCTTGGAGGTCTGTGATGTATATGCCTTTTCTGTATTCTCATGCTTCTGCTTTGTGGGATGTGGGAATAACTGTAGGTGATATTTCCCAACGCGTTTTCTTCAATTGCATGGCTGCCTTTTGTAAGTGGTTAAGTTGCAGAAGTGTCTTGCACATATTATTAGAACGTGTTCAGTATTAAATTAAGAACGGCAGCTTTGTTGCAAGTAATATAAGAATGTAATTTATTTACCTTTTATGCTGGGAATATTTTTACTGTAGACTTGACAGTGTTAGAGGACGAGTTACATCTTATTAGTGTTGAGATTAACCTCCAAAATGATAGTACTCATGTACTTTTTCATCATTACTGTTTCAGTTTTTCTAAAGTTAAGTTGATAATGTCGATTTGTCTTGCACAAGCATAAAGTTCTCATTGTGTAGAAGATGCGTACTTAAAATTGGTGAGCTGTGATACTTGTGCAACCAAATAGTTCCAGAATGTTTGTTTTGCAAGATTCTTCAGTGTAGAATGTAAATTGTTTTGAATAAACCTGTTATATATTTGGGAATTTAAAAGGTAGTTTCCCCTTGGTCATGTTTTAGAAGCTTAGTACAATATGGGTTTTGCCTCGGAAGTTTAAGTTCGTAAACCTAAAACTTGGATATCCTGATCCGACTTCTGGTTTACCTTCAATTAATGTTGGCGAGTTAGCTTTTTTGACACTGGCATAAAAGTTGAATAAAAATATAAATTATTCAATTACTAACTGAAATGTACATTGTACAAGGTTGTGAATCAGTTGAATGGATAAATATAGGTTGTTTGCATAATTGAATTTAATATTTGAGATATTTACAAAATGTACATTTTACAAATGTATAGACAAATTTGTTTAAACTTTTTAGTTCATGTAGTATATTTAAAGTCTTTGAAAACATTGCCCAGCTGTTATTTTGATTATATGGTAAATTCTCGTTGCAGCCGAGCATGTGCTAATGGCCATGGATTGATCCGAAAGTATGGCTTGAACATCTGCCGCCAGTGTTTCAGAGAGTATTCTCATGATATTGGATTTAAAAAGGTAATACATAGTATAAACATTCAGTTCCTATTATAATAAAATGTTCTGTAACTGTGATATTAAGATACATTTTTGTTTCTAGCTCGACTGATTTTTCATTGGTGTTCACTGCTGCTGCTTAAGCGTCAGGAATCTTCAAATATGTAAATTATTATGTTGCATTTGTTTAACCGGATCCAATTCTCTGGAAATAAATTTTAATATTTCAACATACTTTTTCTGTTTTTGATATTTTTGTTATTGTCATCATACTAACCTGTGTAACTTGTGCTAAAAGTGCTAACATGGACTTTTTGGCTGGGCGACACACCTTTTTCTCCTGCTCTTGACAACAAATATTAGGAAAACAGTCGAGAATATTTCGACATGGTTTTGGAAATAGGTCAAAGAGAGGTGGTGGCGGTGGGGTACATTGCAAGTATGCAACCATGCCTTTCAAAGCTGGAAAATAAATCCATTCCTCTAATTTTGAATTTTTTTATGAGTATGTATTTTCAATGGCAACACATCTGGGATATTGATAAATCTTCACTATTCTGAAAAATAGGAAGAGGAAAGGACTTACGTTCAAGACGTGGTGTTTCTTCCCATTTCGGTAAAGGTGTTCGACAATAGTTGTCATGGCCATCAGGGCAACATATTCTTGGCCAACATTCTCGATCATGAGTGCAGTTCTTGATTGGCAAAGTTTCTGGTATTGGATTTGCTGGGCATTCTCTTGTGTATGTTCCTAAGAAAGCTAGGAAATATAATAAACACAAATATGGTTGATATTTACAACACTGAAGGATGTTATTTTGTAGTACTTATAGTACTCTGCCCCTATGAATTCATTTGAGCTATATGTTATATAGAAAATGAAGGCTATTATTATGAAAGTATATTATCTCATTATTTGGTAGGGAAGCATCTACTTGCAGTGATGGCTATTAATATCAAGTATATTTAATACAGTACTATCGTGTAGGAACTACCTCCTACGTATGGAAAGGATCTTTCTTAACCTTCCAAGGAATACACAATTTTCTCTCCAGGAGGTTTGTGTCATAAATTTTACTTTATTCAAAGACTTGAATGAAAAAGAAATGTAGAGGAGAGGGAGAATCACAATGTCTCTCTCATCAAATTAAGTAGTACTTTCATTATATTATGGAGCTTGTGTATTTGGAATTGCTCTTCACAATGTCACACCATTCTAAGCATTAGTATTTACTAATAAATATATGTTATTAAACGTTTGTATTTAGTATCGGAAAGGTGTTGTTCTGATCCAGTTTCATGCTGATGCTTGTCAATATCAACACTGGTCACTATCTCTGTCCAATTCATGATCTGCACAGCCAGAAGATACACTTGAAGAAAATGCTAAATTTCTCATATGAATTCTCTCTGGACATTATATATACAAATGTTTGATTAGGTCAAATTTTAACAATCTCGGAATAACAGCAGGCATGCAGTGTAAAGGTTATAACTATAGACTTATCTTGAATAGAGCGTTACAGAAACTGAAAATTTGTGCAAACTAAATAGCTCTGCAGAAATGCATTACTAAAGATATGTGCAAGGATTACCAAGAACGCAGTTTGCCAACAATGAGTCAACAGCAAATCTAAAATATCTGTATTGTAAAACTTGCTGGCATCAGCTGGTTGGTTATTGCGTAATGTAGAAAAGCTCTGCCCAGATCTCAAGTTTAATTTCAAATTTGATGGAATTTAAAAATGCATAACCTGTTAATTAACAAAGCGTGTTCGAAATGAAAATGACTGGCAGCCATTTGGTACCATCTGTCACAAGGTAGTAATGACTCAGAGCAAGTGTGAGTATTTGTCTAGAAAATTCAATTTGTTTTGAAATCATATAAAACAAATATGTTCCTATTTGTCTTAATGTAATGTCAGCATTGTAAATTCTGTTGGTCTAAAAGATTGACTTACTCCATCAGACTAAATAAATAAAACTTTTTTTCAAATGCCCAATAGTTACAAAAAGGAAAATTGTTTTAATGAATTTGGTGTAATTACTATTTTTGTGTAACATGTTTACACTGTCCAAGGTAGTTAATTGGATCAGTGTTGGTAAATTACCAAGAACATTTTAAATCAGCTTTTTTATTCTTAGTGTAGTAGTATGAATTCCTTATGTTTAGAAATGTTTGATTGGTGTTAATCTACATTTTAAGATTACATAAATATTGCAAAACTAATTTTTGAAATTAAGAAGCAATTTAATTGTACATGAATTATAAACTAAGACTAATATTGCAAATGTTCATGATATACTATTTGTCATGCAACAAACAAATTTGGTTTTTGAGTTAAGATTTGTTAATAATTAACATTATTCTACTGAAATACTATTGTAGTTCTGTACTAGCATCTTTAACATACATTACACAACTACTTTTATCGCCACTTGCTAACCAATTTCTTTGAGGCTTACGTGTGTGAGTAGGAACAGGTTTAGGTTTAGGCACTCCCTTCAGGCACCAATGTTTTCCATCAACTTTGCAGCATTGTTCACCCAGTATTTTGCAGTCTGCATCTGTTTTGCAGGGTAGGGTGAAGATGGGGCGGTTCACTGGTGATAATGGACATATTAACCCATTTGAATTCTCTTCTGAAATCAAGAGTTGTGAATTATTAATACATTTCAGTGAAGTTATTTTTGCGGAAATGTTAATTAATGATTAAGATACAATTTTTTTAAAAATGTATCACATTTATTGCAATTAGATTTTTGAAATCTGTTAGGGTGACATTTCTGGGAAATGGGGGAATCATACTGCAGGAATTAAACAGGAAAGTGGCTGATTACATAAAAAAATGGTCATTCGACACAAGACAGTAACACATGGCAGAATGAAAGTGAAATATTGACGCTGTGAATAGGAGGAGGGTAGGTGATGGTTCTTTAAAATTGTCTGTCAGAAAGTGCAATATATTGCGGAAATTTCAAGTGGTTTAGTTGGTGAAACATTTTTGAACTGATACCTTACGTAAAACCATGGGTAAAGACATATTCATTATAACTATCAATTTACCAATTATCCATTTAATATTTAAGTAGTTTCTATATCCATTATATCTTTGTACATTTTTCCATCAGTAGAAAACAGAATTTTTAAGGACTCTTCAAAGTAGTGGCACGAGTAGAAGAAATTACCTGTTACTACTTCATTTTATATTTTATTACTTAAAATAGAATGCTACTTGCAGAAATGTTTTAAAATATTGATTTTTACTAACATATGTGAAAGAAAAGTGTCTAAACTGAAAATGATTCATTGTCAATTGTGAGACAAGATGCTAATAAGGAATGTTAAGGCATCCAGGAAAAAATATTTGAAGCACATTATTATAGGCCTAATGCCCTCCAAGAAGTCATTTTGAATAACCTACCTGGATTTCAGAACTGACCTGTGATTTCATCACCTAAATAATATTTGAATAATAGTGCCATGTAAAATCAAGTTTTATAACATTGTATTTCGTATGGGATGGATAGTGTATTGGTCGCCATGGGTGTTTCAATGCTCTTGATTTAGCATTTATTTTTCTTCAAAAAGATTTTCAAATTTATCTTCTATGATTTTATACATATTTTGATTCATATTACATACCTTCCTCCAAGTTTTCAGGCCTTCTTGTTCAATACATGTGAATTGAGGAATCTAGAAATGGTTCTAAGTTTCTAAAAGCAAATTATTTTTACCTGATGGAAGGGCTCTTGAATAAATATAACTTCCAATTAGTAAGGTAAAGTGAAACATGAGAGTTTAAAAGAGAACTTTCAAAAGCAGGATGGCATTTCAGACTCAAAAGGTGATGATATGGCCAGATTCATAGTTTATTCAGGATCATGGCCTCATTGAAGAATTTTTGAATTAATGAGATTTAAGAAGAAAGTAACCTGCTCAATTTTCACTGTTTAATTGGAAAAATAGTTTACTTTAGTAGGAGGTGTTTTGTTTACAAAGTAGTCATTTTTAGTTGAAGGAACAGAGCTAATGCGTAGGTATTTTCCCTTCCAAACTACATACCCAGTTAATGGACTTTCCTTCAAACTACACAGTTTAAGGCAGAATGCAGCTTATAATTGGGTTTTATGATGGATGATCACCAAAATGATTATGGATATATTGGGAAAGTATTGTGGAAGGCAATCGGAAGAAACAGCTGGAAAACATAGCTATGAACCAAGCTTCAGGTTTTGAAGTATATGTTGAACAGATGGCAGAACATTGTACAAAGTGTGTTTCAAACAACAGTCTGAACAAGTCATCAGTGTTTGGGATCCTTCATTCAGACAATAACTGTAAGGGGTTAAGTGAGTAATATCAAAAGTAAATACAAGAGCCGTGAAGTTTCTTTTGAAACACATCATTAATGCTTTTCAAAATTGTAATGTAACACCCATTCAGTTCAATCTGAAACAAAAATGTGTAAATGAATTTTCAAATAGTTTCACAATTGCAAGACAATATTAGGGATATGCAGTATAAAGGAAAGGTATTTTTGTCGCATATTAAAGCAATATTATTGTAAATTAATATGCTTGAATATGAATTATTTTAAATAAATTAATTTAAAATGAATTCCAATTCAATGTGTATTTCTTGAGATTTTGGACCATTTCCATAATTTTCTTGGGGTATCAAGATAAATCATATTTTTTTAATTATAGCACCATTGCCACGAATTAAAAAAAGTTTAGACAATTACGTATTTTGTGTAATAGGATCTGAATCTGCAATAAAAAAATGTGGATTTCAATTTAATATTTCGAAGTTTTCCCCTGCCCCATCCCAGGGGGGGAGGGGTCATGTTTGGTATGAATAGATTTTAGAAAATTACTAAATACATATTTTTTAATTTTTCACTCGCAAATATTTGACCACAGCAGGACTTTTAATCCACTCTGTATAATGAAACAATGGCATAGTTACTTTTATTTTATCTTTTAGGATCCCATTAAAGGGTGAAGGCCTCCTTTACAGGGAATGTGAGGTTGGCATACATGTTTATGTAAGACAAAATCATAAGAACAAAATATAAGCCATTACATAATAATAACATAGAATCATAGTAATAAACATAATCATAAAAATCTAATATACGATACTATTTGTCTCTATAGTGTTTGTCTTTTCACTTTGTTTTGTCTCCATTGTTACTCTATTTAATGTAACTTTAAAATACTTTTTTTCCTTTCGTAATATACACTTCTTCTTGTCCTTTGCCTACATGTCTTTGTCAGTTATCTTCTGTTCTCCATATTGTCTAGCTTCAATTTCTCTCCGTGTTGTTCTGTCTATGATAAAATGATAATGATAAAATTTGCGATTTGTAAATTAAGACTGGCAATTCAAAAATGTCAATTATTATTAATTTGATTATGATGTTGATTTTTTATCTAATAACTCAAAGGCAAGACTTCAAAACTTTTTCACGCTTGGGAAATGCTTATTGTTATCTCTTTTTCTGATTTGTTAACAAAGGATACTATTTGACCTAAATGTATGTATTCATCAACATACTCCATTATTTTACTGTTTATTACAATTGCATTTTGGTTTTCTGTTAGTCTTTATTTTTGTTTTTTAATTCATCTGTAGTTTTACTGTACATTCATTACTGAGATGTTGCATCATTTTTTCTAATGCTTTTGCAGTAGATGTGAACAGTATCACATCATCTGCAAAAGACAGTCTTTGTCTTTGTCCGTTAATATTAATACCTGCATTGTTGTTATTTTCCATTTTTTGAAAACACTCTTCTAAAAGACATAGGAACAATTTGGGTGATTCGGGGTCCCGTTATCTTGGCCCATATTTTAGCTTGACTTATTCGCCCTCTTTGTCTTTTCTTTCCAGTGCTTCAGTTTTATTCTAAATTTTGGGTAGTTTTCTTATGTATTTTCTTGTTATTCCTTGTTTTTGTTGTGCCTCGAACATTGGAGTGTGCTCCATGAAGTCAAAGGCTTTTAGAAAGTGAATGAAGGCTAAGAATAATGTTAAATTAAATTCTTATGTTTTGTTTGTAAAATTTCATTAAGTGTTTGTAGTTGGTCAACAGTGCTATAGCCTGACCAAAATCCAGCCTGCTTTGATGGTTGCTATTTGTCAAGTATTCTTGCAATTTTTTTGTCATTATTTTCTAACACTATTTGTAAATGTTGGACATTAAACTTATTTTCTATAGTTGTCAATGTCCTCCCCATTTCCTTTTGTGTATTAGTGAAATTATAACATGCAAATTTTAGAAATTAGTTCTTAGTTATACTTTAAATTAAACTATTTTTAATAGTGTTGTAGAGATATAGATAAATATTTTTGCAATATCACTTCTCTAGAAATATTTCACGTTCAGAGTCAACACGACTGCTGGATGTTAGAAGGGGATACTCGTATGCTGGACGCTCTTAGTGTTAAAAGATTACTACATCTTTTCAGGAAGTAATTATTTCAGAATGAGCAAAGTTATTGTTTTTATAAAACACCCAATTAATATTTTTACGTAAATATTTTTAGTGAAATGTGTTTTCATTGTTTACATGTTGTTTTTCTTTCATTGGATAAATTTACATCTGCCGTTTGTAAAGTGATATTCTATGTTTGAAGTGTTCGCCTTCGGACTTCAAAGTGGTTCTTTGGCGCTATTCCTATTACAGATTGGATCCACCATTTTCAGTGTTCATGTTTTTAATTCAAATATGGTGTTACAAACCAAAAATTTCAAAATATTATTTTACTGGTAAATATATTTTACTCGGTTAATAAAATATGATTAGGTAATAATTGTGCATCTTTTTGGCTAATACCACCAATCATTTTATAAAATAAACTAAATTTTTGAACATTTAAACTAAACTTTCTACATTTGGATAATTTTTTCAGAGATCCATCAGCCCTAGCAAATAATTTTACATTTCAAAAATATTTTTCTGAATATAAGTTATTTCTTTAAATTTTGAATGTGAAAAATTTAAGTGTAAAGAAACAGAGATTTTCAACTGCAAATAATTTTTTTTGTCAGGAAAAATATCTGATTGAACTTTTGACTTTTTTTTTGGTTTGTAGCAGGACCGGGGAAAATTAAAGAGTTGGAAAAGAGTTGAAAAATTCTTCTTTTAGGCCAAACATATTCCTATTGTTTTACTTTTCTCTTTGAGGTATTAATTACAATTTTGTACAACTATGTAAATGCTGGAGGTCAGAGAAATTGAGAAACAGCAGGGAACATAAAGAAAACTGAGGGAAAAGAGATTTAAGTGACCAGTGGACTACCAAGAAGAAATTATCACAGCAAAATTACTTGCTTCAGAAGTTGTTATTTAAACATTCTTGCAATATTCTTACACAATTGGTCAAGATTAACTTTCAAAATGTTACAATTACCTTATTTGATTAAAAATATACCAGTTTGATATTTCTGACTTAATACAAGAAATCTTTTTTGACGATACTTGTCAATTTAATTCTTCCTAATTAATTTCTTTCATTATATTTCAGTTTTGTGTAACATTGGAATTAGGATTATAAAAGAAGTACCTATTATTTATTCCTAAAAAGAATTAAGATTGTAAAAGTGAATATGTCCCAAATGATTAGTTTTGAC